TAAAATATTATATTTTATATCAATTAATTTAAACATGAATCTCATTAGATAGTCTTATGTATATAAAATAAATGTATTATTTTGAAAAAAAAAACAAAATTAATAATATTTTTTTTTATACTAGAAAATTCATTTAATTCAAGTCAAAGTTTGTGAAGTTCTAAGATTGTGAAACTTCAAAAATGTCAAACCTACATATTAAGTTAAGTAGTGTAGTAGTGTATATTATATACAGTATATATGTTAATTGTTAGTTAAATGAAAAACTCGATGAGGAAACATTAGCCAAGATATTGCTAAATCTAGTTTTGTAAAGAATTAAATATATAATTAAATGAAAGTATATAAATTAAGTATACAATTAAATATTTTAAGTATCTGTACCTATATCTCATATATAAAAGAGAAGTATTGTCAAGCTTATATAAACTATATCATGATTATCAAAATAATCGAAGTAATCAAAATAATATCCGATATTCAATTTCAATTTTTCAATTGCAATTTATTTCACTCTTTGCTATAACTACATGATTTTGTAAATGATATTTTACAATATTTTAGGAGATATCCGATATATCTACATATATGTATATAGCACTCAGTTAAGCTTAACTTGCTCGACACTTCAAGTCTCTAGTTCAAGCTAGCGGTGAGTTTAATGTAAAACTTCTACAGCATCTCTGACAGTAGTTTGTTAGTCTGTTCAAGGAGGTAGAGGGGCGGTAGAGGCCGCTCGATTTTGGATGTACCCCTCGCGCGTGCGTTGGCCTCGATGGCCATGCAAATAAATCACAGTAGAAAATGCATTCGATGAAAAAAAGCGACGCATAAGTGCTGCCAAATAAATTCTGCAATTTATTTATTGCACTGCCCGGCCGGCTGCTGTTCGCATCGAGAGTCGAGCTGGGTATGGGGCAGGCCTTGGATCGGACTGAGGCTGGCTATCGGCAAAGTGCGCATACAAAGTATTTTATTTCATTGGCAGCAAATTGGCAATAAGTGAAATTTGTTGGCCAGCTGAGCAGGTGTTTGCCATTGCGGCGGGCTCTGGCTGCAGCTCGATGGCCATTTGGGAAATTGGGTTAGCCGCGATGGGGCGTGCCGCTTCAAACAGAGCACAAAACGTTACTCATATTACCAAGCAGGGCTACGGATGCCCACAGATTCCGTCTGTCTGACCCATATCTGGCATTCACCTCCGAGCCGCGTCCATCATTAATTATGGTGTAGACGCGGAGTGCTTACATTTCCGCATAAATAAATCAATTGTCGTGAGCGTGAGCCAAAGTGCAAATGAATTAGCATTTATACTCGACACCTTCGCGCGGCGCACGCATCGTTAGCCCAGGAGTCGGCGTCAAGTGCAATTTGGCCGCTAACAAAGGCCTATTGTGAGCGAAGCGGGCTTTGGGAAAGTCTTTCGCCAGACTCTTGAAAGAGACACGAATTGATTGAGCCTGCGGTGTCCCCAGCAACGAATGCCTGCCTGGCCAGCCTGGCCAGCCTCTCCAGCCTCAGCTGTGAAAAAGAACTTGGCTAATGACTGCAAATTAACGCCGACAAGCAGCTGGAGACGAGTGTCATTAAGCCGACTGTTTGCCTGCAAGAGAGCCGAGCTAAACTGAAGCACTGAGCTCAGTTAGGTGCTGAGTGAGACGCAGGGGGCCGAGGGGCATCTCAAGTGCTCACTGGGCTTTTAGCATATCTTCTGATAGATCGCCAGCAACCGACTAACTGGCAACGTGCCAACTCGACGTACTTCACTTACGAGCACCAACAACACACAACTTGGCTAACCTGGCTAACGTGGCCAACTGCAGTCTGCGCCCTCCTTACTGGCCCTGGCCCTCGAGTAAGTCGCGAATGCGCTTCTGCAGCCCATTTAGAGCTGAGTGATTGAGGAAATACCTCGTTTGAAACCTTCATAAATTAGGTTTATCACACTTTCGGAAGTCGCCTATTAGTTGGACCATTTCTAAGCTTCGTACTTTCGAATCCACACTTACAGTGAGTATTATGAGTTTACCTATTTGAAATAGACGGAATGAGATGCGCTTTCCTATGCACCATATTAATGTCTTTGACTGTATTTTACATTTACTTTAATGCTATATATGTATTTATTTTTTGAAAATTTATATTCTATATTTTATTGTGAATTAGTATGCTCGAAATGCTTTGAGTGCATAGTGAAAGTGGACCCGAATAAGTTGGAGTGAGTGACTCGCCAGCACAATATTAAAGCGAGAACAATTCAGTTGTAGAAGCAGAAGTGAGGGTGCAGAAGAGGTTGCTCTTTGAATGTCAAGGGAGAAGAATTAACAGACTTCGCTGCGGACTCTCGGCTTCGTACAATTCTTCTCATTCCTTTGTGAACTTCTTATGACAGCCTGAGCACTGTGCCAACCCTCGACTTTGACAATTTCTGTATTGTGTTTTTGAACAGACACATGTACATGGCTTTATTTACTCTCACTCCTTTGATATTTAAGCTTACATTGATACTCATATGTTTCATTGTATGTCTCAAACTCACTAAACTCAATTCAATTTAAATGCTTTAAATTAAATGTGTATATACATATACAGTGAGTATATTCGGTTTTTTTATTTTTAAACATCTTTTCGGTTTATATATAATCTTTGTTAGTTATGTCGAATATATTGATCATCGGAAAGGTTATTTTTTCTACGATTTAGCAATTAATTTTATATGTTTTATAAACGTTTGAGGTTGAAATTAAAAATTAAAAAAAAAAAAATACAAATATCAATGTTACTTACAGTATATAGATATTTTTTATTTATT